GTGGTAATTCTTGCTCAGGTGTCGTTATCGTTGTACACACAAAAGAGCGCGCACAAGAAAAACGCGCGCACTCTTGATTTGGGCCATAGTTATCGACTAACTATGTTTGGGCGAAACTTTCATGGTAACTTTCTGTTCCATCTTACTATGCCACCTTCAAAACGTCGTAAATTTAGAAAACTTTCTTATTCTTAAGATTAAAATATGTTGCTTTTCAAATCAGTTTTTTCTTGACCTTAAACAATCTCGGATTGCGCGCGCGCCAACTTTCACTAGCTGAGCATACAGGCAAAAGTTACGTTTTTAACTAACTAATAGAAGATGAAAGGAAAAGGCGTGCACTCTTGATTTGAGCAAAATTATAAGGGTAACTTGCTGCTGTCCCTTCCTATTTTTCGCCCTGAAAATCATCGTATAGCTTTGAAAACGTTCTTATTTTCAGTCCAAGTACATGGTCTTTCAAATCTGTTCTTTCGTTAATTTTAACAATCTTGGATTGCGCGCGCGCCAAGCGTCACTCGCCTGCAGAAAATTCCCTGTTTTTGATTTATCAAATACAGTTGATTCTACTTACATTTTCCTGGAGATCGTGCATTTGAGCAAACTGAAATGCAGAGTACCAACAGAGCAATTGTGATGTTCTTCATTTTGGTGCGGTCTGCGAACTTGACAACGTTGATTGGGAATCTCAACTGAAAAAACCAAGCACTTGGAAGATATCTCTCGTACGAGTTGTAAGTTAATCTAGAGACTACAACTCAAGTTGCGTTTGTTATATAGCATACACTCACAATAGAGTCAACGATGTAACCATTGTTTGGCCGCAAGGAACCGAAACTAATTTAAAATTATTCATCTTAATTTCCCCGCCTTCGAGTTCAACTTTTAGTTCTTTGCGGCATATATGTGCAGAGAAATTTTGAAAGTGTCAATTTTCCCCATTCAGGTCAACAAGAACATTCGTAGAAAGGGCCAAGTTTCAGATATATCAAATACCATGATGTCAAACAAATTTTCGTTGGGAACCGTTACAGGACAAAATCATTATACAAGTTTGCGATGCTTTTGAATTCATTCATTGCAGAGTGAATAGTTTGTTTATCTAACCTCATTTCACTGATTAGATTGCGAACTTAAATTTTAATTAAGCCGCAAAAAAAATTGCTCTCTTGACAGGAGATGTCAAAAACCGTCCGATTTTCACAATCATTCAACCAATTAACGTCAAGATTTAGGTTGTTTTGATTGACTTAGATAGGATTAGTTAAACAATATTCAACAGTGAAAGTTTTGAACACAGTTAATAGGGGTATGAATAAAGTCTTGGAAACATTTCGATAGTTGTGCCTCGTTTGGCACTCTTGACGACCTAACTAGTTTGGATTTGTTGCGCGCAGTTAAATTTTCAGCGTTTTGAAGACCATAACCTAGAATTTTTCAAGTTTGTTGTTTACAAATCTGGCCTCAAAGAGCGGATAATGTCATCCGACGAATAAATTGCCATCCAGTGGATAGGAAGGCAAAGAAGTATCGTTACTTCGCGGTGTTTGCTTGAGTAGACTAAAAATTCGGAAGCACAAAAGAGCGTAATAGAACTGTATAATGCAGTAAATGGCTTGAACCCGGGGGTAACATGTGAAGGTGTAGTCTGATCGCCCGGGTGATTGTAGAACTGTATAGATGCATAATTAGGGTTCGAGTTCATTTGAATCACAACAAATCAGATATATCTTATCTAACCTGGTGATAAAGGTTTTGAGAAAAGGAAAATTTAAAGACATTGAACTAACAATTAACTTCAGTAATTATTTTTTAGTAAATCATTAAAAGCATGATACTTTATACTCGAAGGAGCGTAAAAGTCTCGCGTTTGGCGCCAAAATGTGTTCGTAATGATTACTGGGCGCTTCAACGTTAGGAGGGCTTTGTCAGTTGTGATTTTGCGTAATGTGTTCTTCAAGTTGTTGTATCTCAAAACTCGAAAACGTTTTCCGTTTGGAGGAGAACATGTCACGCGCCATGGGGTCAGAACTCACTAACTCCGAAGGGAAACAACAACTTGCTATTTGAAACCGCGGCTAATTGTATATGCTATATAACAACTGCAGACAGTACTGTTTCGGCCTTCTGGGCCTCATCGATGCTGTGTAGTAGTAGTAGTAGTAGTAGTAGTAGTAGTAGTAGTAGTAGTAGTAGTAGTAGTAGTAGTAGTGAACTTTATTTATGTGTCGTGAAAACCTAGCGCATAACACTAATTGGGGAAACAGGGTAAAAGCTTTAAAAATAAGA